CTAAAAAGAAAGAGTAAACTAGCATGGAAATACCAGTGGATGCTACAAATACATTACCTAGTTACAACTGTTGTTACTGTTATTATTATTAGTTGCCATTAAGTTGGCTCCGACTCATGGTGACCTCATGTGTAATAGAATGAAACGTTGCCCAGTCCTGTGTCATCTACATGATCTTTAAGAGTTGCTATGAGTTTTTGAAGTGACTAGAGCCAAGCAAGTTTGCGATGAGCAGGCTGCATGGAGGAGATAAATGTGGAGAAGTGTTTAAAGAAGAATCAATGAATCACGAGGCAGAGAGAGGCGGGGAAATGATCGAGGATGGAAAGAATCACCTTAGCTGGCTCAGAGGTGGGAGCTGACAAGGTGTGGCCACAGTTTGGTCCTCTGAAGCAGGAATACAAGCCAAGGTGTCGCTAGAGGTAAGAAACTCAAGTAAGGAAAACCAACCATGACGAGACTTGATACCTCTCATAGACCCTGTGAACTTCTTCAGATATGCCTTTCTGATTGTATGAACATAAAAAAAGGAAGTGCAGAGGTTAAAGGGAAGCATGTATACTCATTGAGGAAAAAAGCAAGAGAGAGTAATGTCTGAATTATTAGAAGGGTCATCTAAGGGAGTTCCTAAATAACTTGGCTGCTGAGCATCATTCATATTCTTCTGTTCCTTCTTTAGAAAAGGTTCTGTTTGTAGCACTATTATAAAACTATGTTTTTTTAAAACTGCCTACTTTTTGTCTACTCGTGCTGGAATAACCCCCTTCCCCAGAGAATTCTGAACACCTTGCTCTGTCCTTGAAAGTGGGAATATCTTTGTTAGTCTGTTAAAAACATGAGGATTTGGAGCCTTTCTGTATGATAATAGATGACATTGATCACCATAACGATGGTTTAGTTATGCTGAATATGTTTAAATATAATTTAAATTTTGAAACAATTACTACTACAGACTACACATAGACTATTGGACATTTCAAACATTTTGATCCAATCCATTAGAATCCAATATTCTTCACTTTCCGGAGAACTGATCTTCTACTGTGGGATGTCTGAGCTGCCTTTAAAATGCCCAACCAAACTCTGCACTGTCATATTAGCTGGGTAAGAGATAAGGGGTAAGAAAAGTAACCAGTCATCCAAACACATTTCTGGTTTTTTGTACAAGCTTAGATGAAATACAGTCACTCAATAAAGTCCTTCTGTCTCTCTTTCCCTCCCTCCCTTTCTCTCTCCCTATTCGCCTGGAGAGGGGAACCCTAAACCCTTTGGAGCCCTGCCAGTAACACCAAAAGAATCTCTTGACTATTTTCCCAGGGAATTCCTGACTTAAATGTCAGCGGAGTACAGGTCTCTGGCCAAAGCAAAGTCCGCCTGAATCAAGGAAAATGTGCCTGCTGTACCAAATGGGAAACCTGAATTGGCGGGGCACTGGAGCAGAGGGGAGAGAGAGTGTGATTTGTGAAGGGTTCAACATCAATTAGGAAGACAGGTTTTCTCAAATTCAGCTCAGCGAGGATCCGGGGGCTAAGTCAAACATTTTAACTCCTTGCTGTCATGTGATCATTATTTTTATTTTCCTCATTTAGTGGTTGAACTATATTTCTGAAAATCACGCTGAATTACAGCAATAAGGTAACACCTCTTTGAAAAGAGAACAAAGCTCCATTAGAGCCCTTTGTTGTTGCTGCTGCTGCTGTTGTTTTGTTTATTTGTTTGTTTTTAATGAACATGCTGATATATAAGTGCTCTGGGGGGAAGTCATGAAGAGCAAAATAAGATTTATGAGTTGCAATCGAGTCTGCCTCTACCAGCCTGGAGACACATCCCGTCTGGTACGAGGCATTGCTGGCATTTTTAGTGCTTTTGTTTCAGTCTTCATCTCTGAACAAATGAAGAAATATTAAAAGTTCTGAGGGCAAAGGTGGGAGAAGGAGTCCACAAATACCAAAGATGTACATCAGCACCAAGGGAAAACAGAATGGTGGAGGAGATTAGAAATTCAGAAGCAAAGTGTGTCAATCAGCTAGCTGTTGCAAGGTACTCTCGTGATTTTTCATTTATTCTTTCCTCAGTTTCCTCATATGTTACTGACCGACAACTTCATAAGGCTACTCAACTAAAAATAACAAGGTTGGCTGACATATAATACCGATTTTAAATCAATGTGCCATATAACTATCCCTCACCCCAAAAAGAGATTATAGCACTATAAAATAAGAAAGTGAAGAGATTTAATCATTATTCCAATTTTAAGTGAATTTTGTCTCTTTTAAAGTTACCAGTGGGGGAAAATTAGATTCCGAATCTTATTTGGATCTAGGCTGAGGTCAAAACTACTCATTGTAGAAGATATTATACTCACAGTTGCCCCCACCTCATAATTACCACCCTACCCTGCCACCACCATCACTGCAACCTCATTGGCTGCTTTTTTCCATTGTCATTTCCTGCGTATATTACCATAGACTATCATGTTGGAAATTTCTGTCCCTTGGCCAAAGAAAAGCCAGGGAAGTGGCTGGTCATTGCATAGGACTGGAAGTATTGACAGGAGGGTCAATAATACCATCACAAACATAGAAAGAATAATAAACAATACCTAATAAGAAAAACAAGGCCCCTGGGTTGCGCAAATGGTTTGTTTGCACTTAACTACTACCTTAAAGGTGGGTGGTTCGAATCCACCCAGCAGCACAGTGAAAGAAAGGCCTGGCAATCTGCTTCCATAAAGACTACAGCCAAGAAAACTCTATGGAGCAGTTCTTCTTCATGGGGTCGCCATGAATGGGGATCAACTCGATGGCAACGAGTTTTGTTTTTTTTTTTGGTAGTTGTTTGTTTGTTTTTTGGAATAAGAAAAACTATGTCTGGTAGGAAAAGGGTTAATCCCTGGTCAATTTTAAGCCACACTGCTGAGAGTACCAGTAAGTATATAAGTCCATGCCAATTAGGGTGGCCCTTGCCTTGATGGGAACAGTAATCCCTTAGAAACTGGACTGTCAACACATTCTACTGGGGCAGTAATCAGCCAGCCAGAAGAAAGGGGAAGGGTCTGAGAAACTGTGGTAACCAAGCCTTGCTGGCACTTTGTAAAATGGTGACGGGAACTGCCAAGGGGACTCAGTGAATGCTAATGAAGCCTTGGGCAACTTGCAAACAGTGAACCTGAAAAATGTGCCCCAAACTCCCAGCAGCCCTAGAGAGTAACACTCTTTGTGGACCAGCGTTGGATATAACCATAAGACTCATTTCACTAAGAGGAACCTAACCACTACAGGATTGTTCTACAGGTTCATAGACTTCACAGACATGCCGACTCAATTTTCTTAGGGTCAGATGTAATTACGTCTAGCACATCTGTTGAGAAAGCCGAAGTATTTAAACTTTAAAAAACAGTTTGTACTTTTTTATCTCAATCTAAAATCTAAACAGTAAACTGCTTTAAGAATCAAGATGAAATATTTTAAGTGTCCTTTGTGGATTCAAATAAATTCCTCCTTCCCTCTCATCAAAATTGATTCTGATGTTCAGGAAGCATATTTTTAAAAGGTCCAAACCACAAGTGCGCACTAACCAGCGTACAACCACATTCTTCAGAACGTAAATTCAGTCTTTGTTATCTGGGAATGCTTTGAAACAGTAACAAAGCACTCCTCCAAAATTCACACTCAAAGTGTTCATTCCTTTTTCTAATGAGAGCTTTTCACCCATTCCCATGGCGCAAGTACCCAATCTGAAATGAGATGGTAAATAGAGCGGCCGGACAAGGGATGGGAAGGAGCCATGGTTCTAGATGTTGGTTTGTTTGAGTGGTGGGTCCCCAGGTATTCACTGTATTGCTTAAAAGTAATTAATTAACTAATATGCAATAAAAGAGGGTCACGTATGTACCAGTGATGACAGTGTCATAAACCAAGGATTATAATTATTCTAATTCTATGTACCTGAGGTCCATTTAAAGAAAAATAATAATAATAATGAGATGGTGATGCAGGCACCCAATTTTCAGACTTATCTTCTACTGCTCACCAAACTCTGTAGGCAGGAACAGCTTCATGGGTGTGCATATGTGCAGTTACTCAGAGCCCCACTCTCAGAAGGGCCCCACACTTGGTTTAATGTTCTGCTATCACCATCTTGAAATTCTCAATAATTTTTTAACAAGGGGTCCCACATTCATTTTGCACTGGGTCTCACAAATTATGTAGTCCGTCCTATACCTAAGTTTCTAGACATCAAACTTACCTACAGTTCCCAGTAATTTTTATCCTTGCCCAACCTCTATATTTTTAAAACTCACTACTTCTGAGTCAACAGTTATTACTAATGTAACAGTCAGATAGCACCCTGGAGTAGTCTTATTTTCTATTTTTTCTTACTTCCGTATTTCCTGTTGTCCAAATGAGTCAGAATTGACTCAAAAGCAACGGCTTTGGTTTAGTTTATGCTACATATGGAGCCCTGGTGGCTGCTAACCAGAAGGTCAGCAATTTGAATCCACCAGCTACTCCTCGGAAACCCTATAGGGTAGTTCTACTCAGTCCTATAGGGTCGCTATGAGTCGGAACTGACTTGATGGCCATGAGTTTGGTTGTGTTCTTTGGTATGCTACAAGTGGAGCTGCAGTTACATACTATGCTTATAATGCTGCTCCGCAGGTCAAAAATTTCAGCTGGAACTCATTGGCTATTTTGCCACTCAAAAACGGATGCACAGTAACCTATGTCTCAACTCCTTTCCATTGCTGGAGCATATACATCCATTTTCTAATAACTGCCCGATTTCAACTCTTGCACATAGCCAAACAAGGCAAATTCTCAGCAGTTCTTTGTAGTAAGAAGAATTAAAATTAAGATTTGGGGATATCCTCATGTTCAAAGATCACTAGCTAAAAAAAAACATAAGGTAAGTGAATGTCTCCCGTTCTTGAAATGCTGTGTTTATGGTGATCAGGTAGGGAAAGTTATTTCAAGTTCAAATATAACCTCCCGATTGCGACATGGTGCAGAATCTTTCCACCCCTGCACTCCAAAAACCCAATCAGAGGAGTGGCCGTAATCTGACTCCCAGTGCACTGGGAGCCGAGAGGCAGGCAATGAGAGCGCTGCACTCTGCCCAGGGAAGGAATGAGTGGCAGACCCGCAGCAAGAAGGTGGGGGTAAGTCCTTCTTTGCCTTAAGGGAGCAATGCTCAGGGCTGAAAGATGAGCCTCTATCTCTTTTACTACCTACACATGATATTTGTGCCTTCTTGGGCAGAATCTATAAGGCAACTATTGGCAGGTGGGTGGTTCTTTTAGATCTGGGTACTGGGCATATTCAGGAGACAGTCATTGAGAGCACAGAAGAAAAGGGATGCTTTTTAACAAAGCCTCCACATATTCTAGACCCGAGAAAGCACATTACCCTATAGAGGTAAATCTATCTGTACTATTTTTCATCAGAAAAGGTACTTACCCAGGGGCTCAGCCATCCAGGAGTGGATCGGGCTGGGTGTTCAGCTACAAAGTAATGTGCCTGGTTGTGGACAACCCGGACACATCAACAAGCCGCCTTTGTTCCGGGGCAAAAGAAGTGCAACTAATTGTGTTGATCCGTTTCCAGGGAGTGTGAACATGTAAAGGAACATTGATGATAACAAAAAGGGGGCTGCAAGAGACGCTGGGTGAGCCCTTGTAAGGCCAGTGTTCTATGCTGCCAGACAGCTTGGGGTTCACAGTGGATGCAGGCTGGTCACTCTGCCTTTGAAGGAGATCAGATCTTGTAGATTTTTACAAAGAAGCTTAAAGCACTTCAGGAGTAGCGTATTTATCTATTTTTTTTGTTTGTTTGTTTGTTTTGTTTTTAATTCTCAGGCTGATAAAAATTTGAAGAAGAGTAACTGAGTTTCTTAAATTAGGTCTCTGGAGCGGTAGACAGGTGCATAGAGAATGAGAAAGGAGAGAGACTCAGGGAACTGGGGAAAGCGAGGGGAGACGGGTGTAGCCACAGAGGTGCTCTCCTGTGCTGACTGGGAAGAGAACTTTCCTGCCCATCCAGATATCTTACCTTCCTACTTTGTCCTCTTACTTTTCCCCACTAAACCCAGCCACAGACGACCAACACCTTGTGATAGCACCTTGCCCCCTGGCCATCCCAGCCATGGCTGTGGCTGCCAGTGAGTTCAGGAGCGACCCTCTTAACTGCTTTTTCAATCTGTGAGTTGAGTTTCTTCTCCTTTGGGATATATGTAATACCTCTCTCAGGGCACCCTGCCTGCCCCATTCTAAATGCTGTTGTTTCTTTATTTTCTGCTCCTCTGGGGAGTATGATGTCATCATCCTCCCAGCTGGGGTTTGTCCTGATGCGCCAGGAGAACTCACCGGAGCAGAGAGAGTATGCTCGGGAGACAGCCAGCTGCTTCCCTTCTGCAGCCAGCCCTTCTTGTATCGTGTGGCTTGGGCTTAAGTAGAAAATGTGTTTGTCTTTCTTCCCAATTCTGAAACAAAGCCTCACATCAAACCAAAACTGAGCTGAGACCCTAAAGGGCAAAGGAGATCCTTTCTGGCATGGCATTTCCTCACTGCCCTTACAGAGCACAGGCTCATGGGGACAGTAGGTGATGTGGGGAAATGAGCACCCTACTCTCAGTAATATGTCACGGGGAAGCTGCAGTAATTCACATCTAAGTACTTGGCTTTCTTGCCTAAACTTTTTTTTTTTTTATGTTATGCTTTAAGTGGAAGTTTACAATTCAAGTTAGTCTCTCATACAAAACTTTATACATACGTTGTTTTGTGACCATAGTTGCTCTCCTTATACTGTGATAGCACACTCTTTCTTTCCACCCCGGATTTCCCGTGTCCATTCAGCCAGCTCCTGACCCTCTCTGCCTTCTCATCTCACCTCTGGACATAGTCTTCTGTGATTAGATTCTCTGCTAAACGCTCTCCACACTTCTTTACTCTCACGACTATCCCAGGCAAAGGACAAAGACGAACATCTGGGATAAAAGGGTAACTGGGATAATTGCCCCCCACCCCAGGGGAAATCCTAGCCACTTCTTGCCAGAATGCACATTTGGCATTAGTTGGTATTAATATCCTTGAGCCCCACCCTTTCTCAGCTCCAAAGATCCAAAGACTTTAAAGGAAAATAGATTGGAGGAGGAAAGTACCTGCCTCCTCAATGTCTGCCTTGCTCTCACCACTTGTCCCACCAGGAGCTCCCCCAGAGGAGGCGCACTGTCCTCTGGGGCCAGGTGGACCTAAGAGAAGGTACTAAAGAAGGTACTAGAGAAAACTCGCTTTCCTTGGAGCTACCTCCTCTGTGCTTTCCACGGCTCCTCTCCCATGATCCCCCTTCCTGAGCTCTGCCTAACTCTCTGACAACCGCATTTAGTGACCCCCTACGGGCAGGAAGGGCACCTGGCCTCCAGAATACCTTCGGGGTAACGTCAAGGGTTGAGAGAGGGTCGGGCACATGGAGGGGCTGTCCTGCCTCCCCTAACACTTCCAAATCTACCGCTTTCCCAGGATGCCGGGATGCAAATTTCCCAGGCGAGGCTGCCAAAGAAGCGCCAGACGAGCGCGGGCCGAGCCAGCAGCAGGCTTGGGGGCCGGTGCCCAGGCTAGGGGCGCGCGCGCTCGGTCGGATAGGCCGCGGTTTGTTCACCTGGCCGGGGCCGGGGAGCCTGGCACGGCCCGGGAATAGCCGCTCCCCTGCCCCCTGAGAGGCGCTCCAGGCTCCTTTGGGTCCTGAGGGTGACACGTCCCTGCGCCTCAAGTCCAGATCTGGGCGGCACGCCTGGTCCCCCGGGCGAGGCTCCAGGTCCCGGATCCTCCCGCTGGCACAGAGGGAGAGGGAGGGAGTGACCCAGCTCAGGTCCTGCCAGTTCCCACCGCTGCCGCCACCATCATCACCATGAGCTGACATCCCCTCTCCCGCCTGGCAATGAATTTACCTCCTCAAAAGACAGTCTTCTCCGCCTGCGCCTGCGAGAGTTCCTAGCAGGCCTCCTCTTAATCCAAGTCCCTAGACAGGGTGGGGCAGGGGAGGGAGGATCAGGTTCTACAAATCCATTTTCAGAATGCCATTTTGAAGTAATAAAGAAAAAAACTGTAAAAGACTTTTTTTTTTAATTGCTCTATGTTCAAAATAAATAAATGGCGTATAAAAATACATTCAAAATTTAAAAACTTGCTCTGAGGCAAATAACTATAAGGTAAATATATCTTCTTTTTAATTTTTTTAAGGAACTTAATTTAGACATTTTTCTTTCTCGGGATAATTCAGCTAATTTTCCAGTGAAACTGGATGATCTTTGAATATTAAATCAAAGGAGATTGGAATAACAATCTCTCAGCTATTAATTAAGGAGATTGTCCAGAAGCATTCTTTCTTGGTATGCAGATAGCATTTGGTAGACCCTCCAGACAGTATCAGGCAAGACTGCAGGCCTGGTCTTCCTCACTTACATTCATAAACCCTTACAGATTAACAGGCTGGTTTGGTAGCTTCTGATGCCCTTTTATTTTTCTTTTCAGTAAGTGTGGACCTTTGTGTAGAAGAGAAGACATCATGGTGGCCTTTAAAGGGGTCTGGACTCAAGCTTTCTGGAAAGCTGTCACAGCAGAATTTCTGGCTATGCTTATTTTTGTTCTCCTCAGCCTGGGATCCACCATCAACTGGGGGGGAAAAGAAAAACCCTTACCTGTAGACATGGTCCTTATCTCCCTTTCCTTTGGACTCAGCATTGCAACCATGGTACAGTGCTTCGGCCACATCTCCGGTGGCCACATCAACCCAGCTGTGACCGTGGCCATGGTGTGCACCAGGAAGATCAGCATCGCCAAGTCTGTCTTCTACATCGCAGCCCAGTGCCTGGGGGCCATCATTGGAGCAGGAATTCTTTACCTTGTCACACCCCCCAGCGTGGTGGGAGGTTTGGGAGTTACCACGGTAGCATCTTTAGCTGTTATTTTCAAAATAGGACTCCAAGCTTCTTGCATGCTCTTTACCAAATGCCACCCTTGTGCCTGAGAGACCTTCCTAAAATTGCCAACTTATTCCCAGGGAATGTTTTATGCCCCAGGGAAAATGCACATTGATTCTTGATAGTGGTGAAAACTAATTCTAGGAAGATTGAATGTATCAGTATGAAGCCATTGTTTGCTATGGAATGATTTGAATATAACTAAGTCTAGGAGCCATCTTCATGATTGTTGGTATGTTTGAGTCCCTTGTTGCAGCTATTGTATCAATCCATCCCATTGAGGGTTTCCCTCATTTTCAGTGGCCCTTTTCTAGGAATTGGTCTTTCATGATGACATGTCCAAAGATCATAAAGATGGCACAGGACCAGGCAATGTTTCATTCTATTATATATAAGATCACCAAGAGTTGTAGCCAACTCGACAGCAACTAACAAGTCTAGATGGCACATAATTTATATTGATTTGTCCTCTCTATCGCCCATCCCAGTTACTATACTGACTATATATTTAGCTTTAAGACATTTTTATTACAATTATTTGTTAGTTCACTCAAAGAAAAAGAAACAATTTTGCTTCTTGTCACGTTCATAAGATTTAAAATGATTCACATAAAGGGTCATACTTAAAAAAAATTAATTGGTGTTTGACCCTAGTTTTATTCTTAGCTGATTAGAAATATCATTTGTTAGCTCAGCACTAAGGTTGATTATAAAATTACACACTATTTAAATTTTAATTGGAATATATATTAATTAATTTAAACCTAATTAATGGATTTAACCATTGCCTTGTAAAATTACAAGACTCTCAAGAAACTCTTTTACCAATTAAGTCTAACAGTGGCATATTTTGTTTTTTTATGTAGAAAGGGCATTCAGCACAAACTCCACTTGGTCATTTTAAGCGGAATTATCTGTGATGGCCCAAAATGAGTGTAAATTTATTCCTTTTTTTTTTGGTCTCATTTGGGGGTGGGGGAAAGCTTTGAATTAACCATTACTTTGTACAGAGATAAAATATGCCTTTCACAATGATATGTTGGCATAGAAAATGCATTTTTACTCCAATTAGGATGGAGTATTTTTCTCTTTCTAGGTTCATGGAAATCTTACTGCCGGTCACGGTCTCCTGGTGGAACTGATAATCACATTTCAGTTGGTGTTTACTATTTTTGCCAGCTGTGATTCCAAAAGGACTGATGTCACTGGTTCAATAGCTTTAGCAATTGGATTTTCTGTTGCAATTGGACACTTATTTGCAGTAAGTTTCCAAGTCTATTTAAATAATTGATCTATTTCATTTATCCTCACCCTAAAACTGAAGATGTGGTGTTTTACAGTTGTAGCTCTTTAGTACCCAACCATGTCTGTCCATTTTAGGTGATTATTTTGCCATGTGAAGAGAATGTTGATATGGCTGCTAACATCTAAATGACTTGGCAAATGGTAGCAAATTGCAATGGATGATACCTGTTAGTAGCCCTGGCTTAGCAATGCCTGATGTTGTTTTCTTTTTTTTCCTATAGATTAATTATACTGGTGCCAGCATGAACCCTGCCCGATCCTTTGGACCTGCAGTTATCATGGGAAATTGGGAAAACCATTGGGTAACTATCATGTCGATAGTTCCTATCTTCTCACAGTTGAAGACAATTAGCCACAGGGCTCTTTTCTCTTTTCTTTTTTTTGCTCAGTGGTTTCTCTTGCCTCTTCCCAACCCTCACCCCACCCTCCTTATTACATATTTCATAAAGCCTAGAGAAACACTAGCACAGATCTACTGCAAAACATCTCATCTTATTTCTGTTCTGGGTCTTCAGTAATAGTCTTTTTTTTTTTTTTTCTTAAGCACTGCTGTGGGCACTGTATCTGATGGACTGTGGCAGAATGTAGTGTATATGGAGGATGCCATGTGAGACAAGTTACAATCAGGATGATGGAGTGAATACGGTGTTTAAATAATTGAAAGGAAAGCTTTCCCAGCAATAACAGAAAACATACTTGAAAAAAAAAAAGGAAATGCTTAAAAGCACTGCCCATAGCAAATGTTTACCTGTTTACAAAAGCATGAACCCAATTAATAGCATTCAAGTTGGAAGCGTTTGAACTGCAGATGTTGCTGAATAAATGGTGCAAATGTTTTCAATATTATCACCATAACCATAGCCGGAAAAATATATGACTCTCAGAAAATGCACTTTTCAGTCTCATGCCTAATGCTTAATGACATGGTGACAATGCTTCAAGATAGTAGTATTATCCATTTTTAAATATCACAATCGATTTTATTTAAATTGTTTTTTACAACAAAGGAATTTAAATCCCTTAAATAAGCAATGTGGCAATTTCGAAGGTCACTCACACACTAGCTTACAACAACCAACAAAAATATGAGACATATGGAAGCCAGCTTCGAATGGGGCTGACTTTTATAGTCATTTCCATGTTGTGAATGTTATTTCACAACTTTTATTTTTAACTCATAAATATAAAAGAATATGTCACTGCGTTTTAATTTCATGCATATGGTGGTTACTGACCCACACATCCCCCTCAACCGTGGAGTACATAGCAAATGAGAAGAAATTTCACCACTTCTAAGTGCACCGATGCTTTAAAAGTAATCTATACCATTTAGTGACAGCATGAGAGTCAATGCTGAGAAACCAAAGTTTGGACACAGCCATGCCAAGACTTGGCCAACATTGCCATCCGTGAGACTGGTCAATTTGCCACTGATATTTCCATTTATGGCTCAAAAGGTTTGTCAGACTAATTGTAATGGAAAGTTTTAATGCTTCCTCAGTAAGTGGGCAGTATATCTATATTGAGCTATACGTATATGTATCTTACAATGAAAGTATAACTTTTAGTTCAACTTACTAAAGTCAAACTATTTGTTTCTTGTTGTTAAAAATATGCACAGCAGAACATACACCAGTTCAACAATTGTATATGTACAATACACGTACACTACGTGTACAGTATGGTGACATTGATTACACTCTTCAAACTGTGCAGCCATTCTCACCCTCCTTTTCCAATTTGTTTCTCCCCTACTGACATAAATTCACTTCCCCCTAGGCTTCCTATCTAACCTATCTAGCCTATTAAACCTATCTAACCTATCAAACTATTTTTTAAGTAAAGTATTTTAAAATGACATCTTTAAATTTGATGTATTAGAGGACTTGAAAATTTAAATGAAAATATATGCTTTTATTAATTACTTGTTAGTTGTGGTGGTAAACTAGTTAAGACTTAAGTAACAGGAAAAGTCTTAGTGTATTGATTGAATGCAGAGTTTCCCTGTCATTATTATTGAAAAGCTTTAATTCTACTGAAAATGAATGTTCATTTTGTGAGAACAGTTGTGTGAAATTTAAAACTAATTTAAAGCATATAGAGAGATAGATAACACCAAAATATTAATGGTAATTTGATAATTATTTTTGTTTCCTTCTTTACACTTTTCTGTATGTTCTAGATTTTCAACAACTGAAACAATTTACCTTTATCAGTTTTAAAAGTTACTTTAAATTACATTGTGGTTTTGTTTTGGAATAGCAACTTGAAACTGAGATTTGTTTCTTTTTGAGAACATGTAGCTAGATGACTTCTTCAGAAGTGTTTTTGGGGATGCATAGTAGTTGTTTAAAAAAAAAAAAAACTGGTTGCAGTTGAATCCACTCCAACTCATGGCATGTGTGATTTAGCAGTCCTTATTCTCCCCTGGAGATCCGAGGTGGCACAAATGGTTTGTGTTCAACTACTAACCTGAAGGTTGGCAATTCAAACCCACCCAGCGGTACCATGGAAGAAAGGCCTGGTGATCTGCTTCAGTTAAAATTATAGCCAAGAAAACCCTATGGAGCAGTTCTACTCCATAGCACATGGGGTTCCCATGAGTGGGAATTGACTCAACGGCAACAAGTTTTTTTTTTGTTTGTTTGTTTTTAATTCTCCCTTGAGGTTCCTGGGTAACAGTTTGTGCGCTCAACTACTAACCTAAAGCTTGGCAGTTTGAACCTACCCAGCAGCTCTGTGAAAAAAAGGCCAGGCAATCTGCTTCTGAAAATGTTACAGCCAAGAAAGCCCTATGGAGCAGTTCTATCTGTAATACATAGGGTCGCCATGAGCCAGAATTGACTCGATGGCAAGGGGCTTGGTGCTTTGGGGATTTTCCCTTGTGGAATTCATAGCATGTAGAATAAAACATATCTAATAAGATCTTACTAAAGCAAGTAAAGAACAAAGACATTTAGAAGAGGGCTCTTGTTTCTCCTTTGAAAGGGCATAGAGGAGATAAACTCTCCAACGGTTTCTTTCATGTTCATGATAAGGAACTTAGTTCTTGCAGCCACTCTAACCAACAGCTTCCCTATTAAGTATGTGTGTTCAGCTTCAGCTTAAAGTTTAAATTGTTTTTTAGATTTTGTGATGAGGATTCTCAGCGAGATTGATTTCCAGAGGGTGTTTTTAAGAAAGAAGCCTTTGTCATTGTTTTTCAAAGAAGAAAAGAGTAGTGGAAACAGTATTGTGGTTCAAAAGAGGAATCTGAATCAGACAGACCTGAAATTCCAGCTCAAGCTATTTGCTAAACATCCAGTCTTTAGCAAGCGCCTTCCTCGCTCAGAGCCTTGGTTTTCTTATCCATAAAATGGGGATAATAATGATACCTACTTCAAAAGGTTATTGTAAGAAACAAATGAGATACAAGGAAAGTAACTAAGTACAGCAGGTTCAGAGAGTGTTCAGTAAATAGGGTTTCTGTTGCTCAAGTGAGTCTGTTGAATGAATGAAATGGCTAATGTTTGGCAGCATACACTTGGTCTAAAGCAAATGTTGTCAGTTGTTGATGGATTCAAACTGCCGATCTTTTGGTTAGCAGCTGAGCTCTTAAACACCATGTCACCAGGGCTCCATCCAAACTCAAAACTTAGTTTTTTCTGGTCACATAAATGATATGACACAAACTTCTATTTATTGAATTATAAATCCTGTGGAATTGCTAATCCTCAACTAGCCATCATCCATAAACTCAACATGAGGTTTTCACCAAGCCACCATTTTATGAGGCAAGAGGATTAAATGACTCTGCAGACAGAGTAATGAACAAACCATGGTGCTTTCAATTAAATCAAATCACCAAAGTTTAGGGAGGAAAAGCATGTGACATAAGGTACATAATGACTTTAACCGTAGCCAGCCTAGTCACATACATCTTCACATAATCTCAGAAGTGTGAAATAGAGCAGGTTACTATGAGCTGGGAATTATTAAGTACTTTACAAGTATTATTTCATTTAACCCTTATATTCCATGAGATACGTATTATTTTAATCTCCACTTTGCAAGTGAGGAAACTAAGGCTGAGAAAGTTCAGAAACTGATCCAAGCCCTCACAAAATTGCTACGTGCTGGAGCTGGGGTCCCATTTATCATACTGTACTGAATAACTACATAACAAATCCTAAAATCTGCATTACGATCATGATTTTGCAGAAAACTAATGTAAGATGGCAATACTGAGAAAATAAGAAAAGTACTGTCCAGAATGCTTTTTTTTTTTCTATTTTAGTGGAAGAGTTCATTGTGTCTGTTTTGATTTCAGCATCAACAAAGAAGAGCTATCTTTATGCTGAGGATTATCAGAAAATAGAAAGAAAGAAATATGAAAGCAGAAAAGGAGATGAGGGAACAGTCTTTTCTTGTTTTCTTTTCAAATGTTATTTAGCAAATATATGGATCTCTGACATGGATTTGGAGTATTTTCTTTCCAATTCCTCTCTTTTTTATGTATGATACAATTGCTCTCTTAACTCACCCCAGCTAAATTCTATACTCATGAGTTTTTCCATGGAATGACTTCTCTCTTCTTACACTCTATGGAGTCCCTGAGAGGTGCAAATGCTTGACACACTCAGCTGCTAACCGAAAGGTTGGAGGTTCAAGTCTAGCCAGAGGAGTCTGGTAAGAAAGGTCTGGAGATTACTTCAGAAAAATCAGCCATCAAAACCCTATGGAGCATAGTTCTATTCTGACGTACATGGGGTCTCCAAGAGTCAGTATCAACTCAATGGCAACCGGTTTACTGGTTGCTTACACTCTATACTCTTTCATCTTTCCCCCAGATATATTGGGTTGGACCAATAATAGGAGCTGTCCTTGCCGCTGGCCTTTATGAGTATGTCTTCTGTCCAGATGTTGAACTCAAACGTCGTCTTAAAGAAGCCTTCAGCAAAGCTGCTCAGCAAACAAAAGGGAGCTACATGGAGGTGGAGGACAACAGGAGTCAGGTAGAGACGGAAGACTTGATTCTAAAGCCTGGAGTGGTGCACGTGATTGACATTGACCGAGGCGAGGAGAAGAAGGGGAAAGACCCATCTGGAGAGGTGTTATCTTCAGTATGACTAGAAGATAGCACTGAAAGCAGGCAAGAACCCTTAGAACTGTCCTCAGATTTCCTTCCACCCATTAAAGAAACAGATTTGTTATAACTAGACATGTGCAAATTTTTAAAAATAAATGAAGCAACATATTTGTTGTTTCATGTCATATTCCTCAATCTAAACATTAAATATTTCATTATTGACCAAGGAGGAAAGGAAAAAACTTACTGTGAATTCCAATTCTAAAAAAAAATTAAGTAACCCCAAAGCAAATACGTGTAATAGTTTGTCTAACTGTCTTTCATTAATAACCAGTTTAAAGTGTGTATCGAGATTTGGTTAAGTCTTGTTTGACAGAACTTATAGACACACCTATCAACTTATTCTTCCTCCTCCATGACATTGGTATTGTCAGTCTTCATTTGGATATTTATTCCATTATATCACATTTATTGATAGCAAAGTGCAGTATGTCACAGTCATCCACATGCAAGAGAGGAATTACAGCATGCCCTTTAACGGGCAGTTCCTTATTTATAAACTCCCTCGGCAAATGGATATTAATAAGGGTCATGGCTAATGGATTGTTTCCATATATATTTCAAATATCCAGCTTTCAAACCCATCTCCAATTCATAATATTCCTTCCTCCTCCTCAGTGCCCAATGTCATGTGGGACTAAAGTCCAGACCTTTGAAAAGAGTTCTCAGAAACCATGTATATTTATTAGTTCCATCTAACCAAACATCCAAATTATAAGAGTTACCTACTGATATTTAGTACAAGTAGACTTGTAAAATCTTACAAGGGTCAGGAGAAAGTTACCACTGGACAAAGTCACAATGAAAAAGGAAATCTGTATCCTGGTATCAAATGGTTGATCTGTTTTCAGTGCACACAGTCAACACCACACTTGGTTAACAGTCTAAGCTTTTAACCACTTAACCACTTTGCTTTTTTTTTAATTTATTGGCATAACTGGGGATTTTGTTTGTTCCTAACTTTGGTTATCTATATTTAAACATTAGCTGAGATATATTTTTGATAACAAGAACGTAACTGGTCAAGTGCTGTTTGTTGATTATTAAGTTCTGCTCATTCTAGAAGATGTTAACCGATCCTGCCCAGTCCCATTTTCTGCCACTGCCTCACTTCCCATGACATTTGTTGATAATCTTCACTGTGGGTGTAATGATATTTGAATGAATTAATATGCATGAGACACAAGGAAGGACATGGTTGCAGAATAAAAGGGAGAGACCATCAGAACACTCTATTCAAAGCTGACTAGATGAACCAGTTACTTACTCATAGAGATATTGTACATAACCCAACACATTTTTAACATATTTTCATTCCTGGCTCATTTATTTGTAAAAAGAGTTCGTTTTTCCAGTACTGCTTTGCCTTATGTCAGTAGAATGTTCCCTGGAAACCCCAGTTTCTATCATCTTAACTGTCTAGACTTTATCATAGACAAAGAGCTGTGAATGTCAATTTCACTGCACAAAAGCTAGTCATAGTGAAGCAAAAACCTATCACTGCAAAGAGTGGCTTGTAAATAGCTGATAATCAAGGAGTTTCTTCTCCCAAGCTCAGCTCTGTGTGCTACTTTTTAGTGTTAATGGCAGTTGTGTGTCTGTGGAAGTGAGATAATGGACCACGATTAAACCTGATTCTCTTCAGTGCTAGGGGGAGTGATGCTTGAGGTTCCCAGAGTCATCACCTCAGTGTCATGGCTGGGGATGCCCCTGGCACATCTTACGGTAGGTTCCTAAATCTCAGGCCCCATTCGCAGGAGTGTGGCCATACCACACTCTACGCCAGTGATACGCCGTGACTTCCTTGCTGTGGTCAGCACCTATAGAGACAAGGGTGGAAATTCCCCAAGGGTAATATATGTCCATAACTTCAAATGTTTGCATAACACACCACTAAAAGCTTACAATCAAGGGTGGTTTGGCCCAAAAGGTAATGCTATCAACCATTGGTATACATATCTGTTCAAAAATAAGTTAGGTTAAGAAGGAGAAGTTAAAAAGATTTTCCAAATAAGCTTACAATATGCTGGCTTATAGTCATTTTATTCTGCCATATGGTTTGCTTCTCAACTATCGCATTCAATAAATTAGTGGTAAAAAGGAATGAATGATGTTTTTTTTCATGTGTTTTCCAGCAACTAGCAGAGTGCCTGGCACATAGTAGGTATTCAAAACCAGGTAGTTATTTAATAACAATATAAAAACTTCATTTTGGATTTTAGAATATAAATCCTTTTTCATCTTTATTTTGCAGCATATTAATAAAAGCATGATTGCAAGGACTACTAAAGAAAGGCAATATAAATGTGAAAACCATAAGATATATTTTTGCATTCTACTGTTTTTTGAGGCACAGAGTGAATGAAAGCTTTAGCGCTTTTTTTTTTTTTTTCCTGCATATGAGACAACATATTTTGTATTTCACTCAAGGCTCTGCCAGTAAGAAGTAATGAAATTGTACCTTTCTAATGACATCTATGCAGCAGGGGTCTATTGCCTTGTGGATGGCACCAAATTATCCAAGTGTATTAGGAGACTAGGGCTTTTGCCTTTAATCCCTTCTTATTAATGACGTGCATAGTGCCGCTCCCAGGAGAGAGCTGCTGACAGATACACAGAAAAGAAATCAGAGAGGGAAAACTGGCAGGACATAAATGAGTTACACCCAGGCACTAAAACAATGTCAGCCATCTCTTTCCTAAGGAATAGTGCAACAAGGAGCCCCCAAATTGTCAGGTGGTCCCTCCACTGAAAATGTTCATAGATTGTCAAAAAGGGAACACAGGGTAAGAGTCATGGTTTTCGTTTTGGGGACTTTCTGAAAAAATTGGGGCCCGGAAATTGAATGTATGTTTTTATTATTGCAGATGGCATTTTCTTCCTGGAGTCCTAAATTTTATACTGGAACTAAGTCATTTCAGGTAGCTTAATCATTAGCGACAATGTAAGATCCCTACCTTTTGTTTCTGTCATTTGATGTTTTTTATGAATTCCTATAGTTTCTGTCGTTTGATTCTTTTCTCAATGTAGCTCATAGGGACTAGAGCTGCTGCTTGGTTTTGTAGGTTTCACAGAGATTAGGAATATATGGATAACATATAGGATGGAATTGAGGTATCTGATTTATTAGATGTCAGATTCCAAATAGCACAGAATATTCTTCTCAGGTGGTGAAACCAGGCAAAACACTTATTGGTTTAAATTTGGTAATGACAGGAAAATTCCAAAACACAGTAGCAAATTCAAATGCTAAAATAAATGCTCGGCAAGGCCCTTTGTTGCAGCATGCTGACACCATCCCACATGTTGTGAACATTTGACAAAGAAATTGCCTTTGTGACAACAGAAGATGACAGTGGGAGCTGAAGAGACAACCTTAGCAAACAATATGAAAGCCAATATAAATTCTCAAGATAAGCATTACAGAATATGCAAATCTAGAACGGTGTATACCTGAAAGTAATTATGCCTTTCCTAAAGTGTTGATGACGTGGAAATTATTAGGAAGATGTGGTTACTATCCGGAAAGTGTGATGTAACAAAATTCACTTTCTTTACTGCAAATTTTGTGTGTTTGCATTTGTATTTTAGTACTTTACTGATGGTCCCAAAACAGCTGTAACTTTGGAAAACATAATTCTCTGAAATAAATAGAAGACATTTAATTTGGGAATCAAAATATGTGGAAACTCACTTTCACAAATTACTATCTATAGCCTATGAAAATGTATATCAAATAAATATTATACAACATGTACAATGAACATTAAATTTAAGGGCAGTTATAGTGTTACCCATTCATGTTAACATCAAAGAGCTAAAAGTACACCTAATTTATATAACCCATTGGAATCTCTTCAGGATTAATTAAATAAACATGCAATTTATGAAAATACATAAACAATTGTTTATCATTTTTATGACCCAAATCACAAAAAAATTGTAATTCATGATAAACTAGGGAGAATAAACTGAACATATGGTTATATTCACAATTATTTATTAACTGAAATGTTATTCCAACATTAGAGCTAACGTTAAAGAGATTTAAACGGTAATGTCTAATATTTGGAATAATCTATTAAAGTATTAGCATTGTGTTTGATTTCTCTGAATAATGTTGCATCTCATACTACTAAGCTTGTGCAAATAAACTTTCAAATGTTTTAAAAGGTAAACATTGCGTGTGATGTTCAAAAACTCCTTCATTGTTTTTAGAAGTTAGAGGTGATGAACATCCTTTAGACGGGGGGTGGGGAGGTTAGGTATTTGATTATAATCAGCACCATATGAAATGGTGGTGGAACCCATGTAGTCAAATGTATTTTTTTGAAAGCCTGCAGAGTGTACAATGTGGTAGTCCCAGATGTAGACAGTGAAAATTGTGTTTTCATGGGCTTACTTCAAAATGTCCACAACAATGCAAAATAGACCATTGGATATTAGCTATCATTATGAGTCTAAAAGTGGAGAATCAAACAACTGCCACTCAGTTGAGATTGGTATTGCTAAATAGATGAGCCGTCCTCAGGGCATTTGGCAGATTCTGCCTACCCAGATGGATAATGTAGGCTCAGTGGCACTGGTTTACTCCTTGGGTTATTGGTCTGAGGAGCTCCGTCAATTTTGAAAGGTTATAGACCTTCAGTGGAAACCCTGGTGGCGTAGTGGTTAAGAGCTGCAGCTGCTAACCAAAAGATCGGCAGTTCGAATCCACCAGGTGCTCCTTGGAAACTCTATGGGGCAGTTCTACTCTGTCCTATAGGGTGGCTATGAGTCGGAATTGACTTGACAGCAATGGGTTTTTTTTTGGTTTTAGACCTTCAGTGGAGAATTGAGGACAATCATTTACATAGAGTGAAACCCATCAGATGAGTGGTGAGTGATGCCTTAGGAGGCAGGCAGATGCGTGATTTCTTACAGCATTTACCACACTGTAGTGAAATCATTTGTGTAGGTGTCTGTCTCTCCCACTAGATTCTAAACTCCTTAAAGGTTAAGGCTGTGTCTTATTTATTCTGTATCTTCCTCCCGAGCTTTGAGCACTAGCTTGACATTTCACTCAGTAAATGTTTGTTGCATGAATGGAGACAGGAATTAATGAATATCTTACAATCATTAAGAAATGCCACCAAGCACTACTCCTCAACCTAGTTGTTTTCTGCTGTATAGATAAGTGCTAAATATTTGAATTCTCATCGTTTCAGTCAGGAGCCCCAA